TCCACAAATCTCGCCCTTGAATATAATGTCCATCACTTTTTTTTTTCTCTCTAGATTTTATTTTCTTTTTTCTTTTTTTTCTATTCACCGTAGCAAATCTCCTTCCGTTCACCTCTTCTTCTCTCCCACCGGCGCTGCCCCAACCCCCATCCGCCGACGCCCCAACCGCCGCCTAGCCGCCCCAGCCCCGTCCAGCACCGCCCCAGCACTCGCCCGACGCCGCCTCAGTCCCCGCTCGGCGCTGCCCCAACCCCCACCCCTATTTCCTCTCTCTTCATCGTCGCCGAATGATATCTATGGGTGGTAGAAAAAGATAAATATTTTTTTTCTCGCTTCAATCATCATTCAATGGTTTTAGGGTTTGTGGGTAAGGTTCCTATTTGATAACGATATTGTGGAAAAGACTATTAATTCTTATCAATTAATTTTTTTCTTAATCAGATTGATACAGTGACCCTCGTCGGCCTTGTTGGTGGTGGTGTACTGATCTTGCACTTTTTCCTCGATATAGTAGTGACTTGCGTTTTAAATAGCGAATTTTTGAATATTGAATTTATGTTTTTTTTTTAGTTGTGTTAGTAGTGGATTTACGTATGTTTTTAGTGGATTTCGATAACTTTGTTGTTGATTATGTTATTATTAAAGTGGATTACGTTAATTTTCGTAATTGGTCTTGCACTTTTTTCTTGGACGTAGTGGTTCACGTTTCTAATAGTGGTTTACATTTCAAATAACGAGAAGAAGATGATTACACGGACTATACTCTAGGGTTCATTGGAGAGAAGATGGTGTCTTTAATAGTGGGTTTATAGCTTCTTTTTTCGCATAATTTCAATGTTTTCTTGTTAGAATTCATAGTGGTTTTCGATGTTTATATAATTGTGTATACATAGTGGTTTTCATGGTTATATAATTGTTTTATGCAGAGTGGTTTTCATGTTTATATAGATGTTTTCATAGAGTGGTTTTCAAAGTTATAGCGGATTTCGAAGTTTATAGTGGATTCCACTTTGATAAATCTGCTGAATGTTTTTTTTAAATATTAAAATAATAAAAAATAATCGAATTAAAAAACAATTAATTAAAAATAATTAAAAAAAATATTTTTTATTTAAGAAAAGTGGGAAAAAAATCATTTAAAAAAACCGAAATTAAGAAAAAAAACAATTAAAAATGAAAATAAAAATAAAATTCAAAATGAAAAAAATGAAATATAAATAATAAAAAAATAATTTAAAATAAAAAAACCGAAAATAAAAAAAACACAAAATAAAAGAAAACCATTAAAAAGAAAAGAAAAAAAAAAGAAAAAAAAGAATTTGAAATGGCGTAATATGGGAGATATTAAGGGGATTAGCATATTTAAAAAAAATATTTAATTTTCCTTAATAATAAATGGGGGTATTTAGGATAATTCATGTCAATTGGGTTTATAACAAATATCAATTAATAAAAATAGATTTATCATTAAGTAGAAATTAAATTAGGGGTGTTGGTCATATAGCTCCTTGTTTAAATCCGGGGTCAATGTGTAATATTAAGGAAGTTAGAGCATAATGGATGGAATTGATAAAAAAAATATAGTATAGAGGGTAGTTTACACTAAAGACATGGGGATGGGTTTATTTGAAAGACTAATTTTTTTGGACCAATGTGCATTTAAGTCCTTGTTATGTCCATTTTTGCCATTTGCCCAAATTCTCCTTGCTTAAAACTATTATTTCATTTCACGGAGTCAACATATTAAGTATTAACCCCTATTAGTAATCTGAGTCCATTAAATAATTAATTAATCAATTAATTAATTGTAGTTAATTTGATATTTAACTAGTCAGTCATCTACTTCTTGAGTTATTGCTATTCGAAAACTGACCTTTATCTTAGTTTTTTGAGAAATTATTTACCGGACATCCCTTAGAACAATCAACAGTATACAACACGTACAATTCTATTAACATTATATATTTATGCAAATTAATGTCAACTAAGTTCTATTTAACTTGCCGATTACACGTGAAAGAAGAGAATTTAAGATAAAATTAATCTGTCAAATAATATAAGATGAAATGCAAGAAGGTGGAAAATTAATCAACCAGCAAGAAGAAAATTTATAACTAACAAAACTCGATTAACTCGATAAAAGGATCGAGAGCGTCGAGAAGTCGATAACTTTCGTAAAAGGATCGAAAAACAAAATAAAAAGTTGTCAGTATATGTAAACAAAAATATGAAAACCCTAATATCCAATATATCCAAAAATCTATTTGTTGATCAAACCCTAATCACAATTAATTAACAAACCCAAATTTATTAATTACCTGGGAGCTTGACAAGAGCAAAATGCAACTCTTGATCGATCCGAAAAGACCATAACTGAACCACATCCCCGGGTTCAAGACGATTCCTCTCGACAATGTGTCTCCATTTTCCGTTTATTAGGTAATTGGAACACGTATTCTTGCCGTTACCCTTTTTCATATCCCATCTGCTCAGCTTCACTTTCTCCCGTCGCAACGAGGGCTCGATAATCATGACGTCTTTGAACTTCATCTTGTTGTTGCGGTCGCGTGTCGTAAGGAAACGAGCCTCCTCTTCCGTCAAGAATCCGTGATCGCGAACCCGTGTGAAAGGGATTGATAGTCGGTAATATTACTGTCACTCACAGTAATATTAATTCTTTTGGCTTTTTATTATGTTTACATTTGTTGAACGGTCAACATAGTAATATTACTGTCACTCACAGTAATATTAATTCTTTTGGCTTTTTATTATGTTTACATTTGTTGAACGGTCAACATAGTAATATTACTCTGTTACACAATAATAATGAGTTTTGTTGTGTTAATATTACTGTGCTAGAGATTAATATAGCAATATTACTCTGTTAAACTGTAGTTTAGTTAATTTTACTGTGTTTAACAGTAATATAGTTAGTATTACTGTCAATCACAATAATATAGTTGTTTAAACGAAAAAAAATGTTACAGAAAGAAAAAAAAATCGAAAAAGTCAACGCTGGAAACCGGCGAAAAAATCCGGAAGCACAAAAAAAATTGAAAAGTCATCGTCGGTGATCGGCGTTGACCGCCAGTCAACGCCTGTTTAACAGTAATATAGTTAGTATTACTGTCAATCACAATAATATTGTTGTTTAAACGAAAAAAAAATGTTACAGAAAGAAAAAAAAATCGAAAAAGTCAACGCTGGAAACCGGCGAAAAAATCCGGAAGCACAAAAAAAATTGAAAAGTCATCGTCGGTGACCGGCGTTGACCGCCAGTCAACGCCGGAATCTGGCGGAAAAAAAAGTTTTGGGTCAAAATTGAATAATTTGTGAAATTTGGGGTCAAATTGAGGTTAAATTAAGTTAAGGATGAAATTGGAGCATATGGAAGTATGGGGGGGCTATTTTAGTCTTTTACAAAAATCTGTACCATGTGTGGACTTATTGGTAAAAGAGATTTTTGTCTGAATCTCTTTATGAATAAGTACCCATTGATAGACGTATTTGTAAGGGGTAATATGCTAAAGGTCCCTAGTTGGAAACATAATTAGATGTAGAATACAACCTTAATATTTTTTCATGAACTAAATTCTTTTTAAAAAAATAAATATGAGTCACACCCTCAATTTTTCTTTTATCCATAATTTACCGTTAACCTAAATCCATAAATTCTAAAGTCACGTTTCTCTCAGATTTATTTTTCTTTTTTCTTCTCTCGCAGTCTCGCCCTCTCTCACTGTCTCTCGCAATTCTCGCTCTCTCTCTCTCTCTCTCTCTCTCTCTCTCTCTCTCGCGCGCTCGCT